AAAAATCAATGGATGGGTTTTTTCCAGCGTCCATTCAGAAAAACACACAGGTACCCCGCCAAAAAAAAGAGAAAAAAAGAAACAACAAATAAATACTCAGGTTAACACCTGAATCTTGTGTCATTATTTTCATGTTAGAGAGCAGGAGGGAATGGGAGTAGAATGTGGATCCTTTACTTCAGTAAAAACCGCAGTACCACGGTGTAAAAACACACATTTCAAGTAAAAGTAAAAGCATTCCAAACAGTAATAGTACAAGAAAGGAATAATTATCAGGAAAATATGATTAAAGTATCAACAGTTAACAGTTAAAATACTGTCAGTGTAATATTATATTATTTGATAATTATTACTGATGCATTAACATGTGAGCAGCATTTTAAAGTTGCAACTGGTCGAGAGAGAAACATTTAACATGCATTTGGGTAGTTTAAGTTTTTTACCAATGCATCATACCAGATCTAAAATATTTTTTTAATTTACAGTTGTTCCATTTTAGAATAAAAATATATACAAACATTAAGAAGTTATTAGAAAAACAGAATTATTTTTAAAATATGTGCATTGTACTATATATATGGCAAAAATTAATATGAAAAATATTGGTATATATATGATATAAAATGGGATCTATTGTTTAAGTTCAAAATACAGGAATTGTCTAAATAAGAATATCACTTGAAATGTGCCGTATAAATACACATTATTAATGCCAGCATAAATCAGAGTATTGCACAGTTAAGTCAGCATTGCACAGTTTAGATATAAATAAATATAATGATGGCGTTCTAGCTGCTGACAGAGCTGAAATAAACTCAAGAATGACTTCCTGAGGTGCTCTGTGCTGCATCTCGGTGAAATGACGCTTGCCGAGACGACTCGCAAGATAAATTTACAGTACGCATGCCCCGGAGCTGCGGAACTGGATGACTGCTCGGCCCATTTTCTGTATCCAGTGTAGCATTAAAGCATGGGGGAATTAGCAAACCAGCTAACTAGCCAGCTGTCCGCTAGTTAACCTGATAATCCCACCATGTTTTGATGCTACACTGGTTACAGAAAATGAGCCAAACAAAGTTATCGATCATGTGGCGATAGCATTGTGCTCTCCTACGCTTTAAAAATAGTGTGTAGATGAAGCATTAAATAGTCATTTTACTAATTTAACGGCTGTCGAGTCCGCTAATGCCGAGGTTGCTAATTCCGCCATGCTTTCATGCTACACAAACTGACGTCCGACCCTTATTGTGTGCTTTCCTACACTATGAAGAGTGTGGATGAAACAGTAAATTGTTAAAGTATTACTCATTTATTCTACGCTTCTAAAATAACAACTACACTCCTCATTTCAGTCTTTATGTCAAATCCTGCGGAAGTTAGCCCACTACAACTGTCGCAATGGCAACAAATATGGCCGCCGCTGTGACCATCCTGCTACATTGATTTGAATAGGAATGTCCATTCTACTTCTTTCTGTCAACTGAATATATTAATGATCTTCTAATACTGGAAATTGGATGTACCCAAGAAAAGAAAAGGCTTCAAGGAAGGACCCTCGGGTGTGTAACTGGATCAGGTGAAGTTCTTGAAGTGGATTGACAGGAAAAGAAAACATGGGAGGGACCTCGTGTGTAATTGGAGCAGGTATTCTGCAGACCTGCCATGACCTGTCCAGCCGATTTACTAGTTAGACTTGGAAGGCGTCTGGTGGAGTTTTATCGTCATTAAAATAGCGCACTGGAGAGGAAATAACGTGAAGCACCTGTGCTGGTGGCAGTGATTTAACTATCAATGGCTCTTTAAACAACTATTGTGAAGTAAGTCTGATATTCGTAATACGCAGCCATTAGCTATATCTCCAACTGCTGTGTTTTGTAAGAATTTTGTCTTTCGTAGGTTGTACATTTAAATCATTTCTGGTTGTATATGTGCTGTGCTGTCCAACTGTCAGTTGACGCGATACGTCTTACCAGTTTCTCTGACCTACAACGTGAAACTAACTTCCCCTATAACCGTGTGGCGGTGTCGTGATTCAGGTCACTTTTGTAGTCTTGGTGACCGGCGGAGAGAGCTGCGCACGCATCTCAACCTCACCTGCCATGTTAACAGGGTAAAAAAAACAATATAATACCATCCAACAACAATGTAACACCGTCGAGGATGCTCTTTTATTTGACTACACGTATTTCAACATAACGGTGAGTAAAATAAACTATCGTCGCTTTGAGCCGTTTGTTACGGAATGAGCTGTGCTAGCTTGTGACTGACGGGATAAAAACGCTCGCGCTCCGACGGTTGGCTCTATGTTTTGTGTTTGAAACGGTAATAATGCTTCTTTTTTTTTTTAGACAGCACACGTAAGTTAAAACGCTCGCGCTCCGGTGGTTGGCGCTGTGTGTTGTGTGTGACTGACAGGATAAAACGCTCGCGCTCCGGGGCGGTTGACTCTGTGTTTTGTGCGTGATTGACAGCACCACGTAGGATAAAACGATCATCATCATCATCATCAGAGCTAACGTTACACCGTGTCTTGGCCTATCAAAAAAAAACATGTCACCCTGCGAGGAGAAACTGCAGTGATCTTGGAGTGATCTAAGCAAGATTAGCTTTATATAATACAAGAAAACCTACTCCTGTGGGAAGGGGTTTGTGGTTTACTGGGATATTAAAGATCCCATCAAGTAGAAGAAGGGATTCTTCACCAACACCAGTGGTCCTTTAGAGGCCCATTACAGGGAGTTTTCATCCGGTGTGTGACTGATCATCCCTGACTGGATCTATGGATACCTTGCCCTGACTCCCTTATCCTGCCCTGACTCCCTTATACCCTCCTTAGGCTTCAACAGTAGTCATGCACAGCAGCCCCGCAGCTGAAATGGTGGCCACCGGCTACCCGGGTGGATGTGTGGCGGCGGACAAAGATGCCAATCTGGAGACGACCCTGGGTAGCAGCGCCTACTCTCCCGTGGACTACATGAGCATCACCAGCTTCCCAAGGCTGCCGGAGGACGACGCCAACACCACGTCTGGGGAAAACACTCTGAAGTTACGCAAAGAGGACGACAACGTCCTGAGTGAGCAAGATACAGGTGAGTCAGGGCGGAGGAGGGGGGTACTTCTGGCTTCCTTGCTCGGACCACACCCACCTTCAAACCCGGCCTTTATTTTGATTTTCAACGACACACCTGTAGAGTTTTGTGACTGCATTTTGCACGAGTATGATGCTGTTGCACTGGACAAAATCTCCACAGACATTTAAACACCTTGCAAAGCACTCAAAACCTCCTCTGTGGTAATTTCTGCTTACAGGACCACATTCAGCCATGATGACACACACACACACACGCACAGAGACTCACAACATCAAAACAATCCTGGATTGTGGTCCTGCATACACCTACAGTAGCAGGAATTACCTCAGAGGTGGTTTTGAGAAATTTGGCAGGTGTCCGCCTGTCTGTGAACAGAAGGTGTGGTGAGATAAAAGTAGGTCGAAGGAGACAGGTGTGGTTTGAACAAGGACACGGAATACACACACATACACACACACACACACCCGGAACACCTCTGGCTGGATTTGGTGTCACGAGACTTTGGGTGTTGTCCGAGCAGTAGGAGGTAGGAAGTGGGGAAGTGCTACTCACTTTACACCACTGGCGTGATTGTTATGGTGTGATACCCAGAACAAGATGGTCTCTACTTATATTCAATATATTCAGTTGAGAAAAGCAGCATCACATTAGCTGGAGCCAGAAATATTGACTTATCGATCATCAAAATAAGTGTTAATTTGTGGATTTCACACATGCAGAATCCAGATTTGTTTTGTTTGTCCTCCAGTAAGCATGGCCACTTTGAATTTACACATTTATTAATGGAGTTCGATGTGAGAACAGAGATTTTCCTCTTTCCTGTTCAATCCGACCCCTTTTCTTTCGTGTTGCATTGGTACGACCCACCCAGACCCCGATGGGTTTCTGAAGTCGGCTCGCCTCCAGCGCCTCCCCTCCTCGGCCTCGGACCTGGCCAGCCACGAGATCGCGTCCCTGCGGGAGACCTCCAGAGACCCTTTCACAGAAGACTGCGCCTGTCAGCGAGACGGACTGACGGTCATCATCACAGCCTGTCTCACCTTCGCCACAGGAGTCACAGTAGCTCTCATCATGCAGATCTACTTTGGAGACCCCCAGGTAAGGGTGTGTGTACGTTATCCTGTTTCTTTATGTGGAATAAAGTAGCTTTCACATACTGGTGATTATAAGCACTACTTCCCCTTAGCTCAAAGGCGTATTGACAATCTCCAGCTCCCTGCTTTGTTCTCCTGTTTCTTTCAAGATCTTTAACCAAGGAGCCGTGGTGACAGATGTGGCCCAGTGTACGTCCCTCGGCTTTGACGTTCTGGAGAAACAGGGGTCCAGCGTGGACGCTGCCATCTCTGCTGCACTGTGTTTGGGGATCGTCCACCCTCACACTTCTGGTATCGGAGGGTGAGTGACGGAAACATGTTATATCTCTTCTCAACAGGACGTTGAATACAAAGCCTGTTGAACACTTTGTACTCTGCTAATGTTTAGCGGTGGCGTTATGTTGGTGCACAACATCCGTAAGAACGAGACGAGGGTAATCGACTTTAGAGAGACGGCGCCGTCTGCCATCCACGAGGACATGCTGCAGACAAACCTCCACCTGAATGTAAGGTGTTGTTTTTACTTAGATATCTGGCTGATATGGACTCAAATAGCTGGATGATTGGCTATTTATTGCTGACAATGGGGCCAATCTATTCAATTTTAATATACTGTCTTAACAGCTGTGAGTGCTAACAGCCATGTTGGATGTTTACGTTCATAATAGTAATTTTAGGGGCGTGGCTTTGGAGGGAGGTCTGAAGGGACGATCTATGGTAACTTTCTTGCTAGATTTAGCAACTTTTGGAGCTAATGCTGCTAGCTACTCTCATTGGAGAGTATCTCATTGGATTTTTAGGTTTAGATCATTTAATACATCTAGCGTACTCTTGATGGTTTCAAAAGAAATACCAACCTTAACCTCTTAAGTTTTTTGATAGTGACAATTCAATCGATTTAATAATCGTTTTTTGATTGATTTAAGATTTCTTGAGTCGATTATTTCCATGAAACTTCGTGAGCACGTCCCCAGTAAACACGAGATGTAAAGTGGTGCTTTTTGTGTGATTCTTTGTGGAGAAACTATACAGATCTGTCGATTCAGTACGAGCTTTAGTCTGCTCAGAATGTCTTTGGTCGAGGACAGCTCTACCGTATTTATTTAGTTACAAAGCAAAGCGAGGTATCAGGACTGACACAAGTCATATCGGTGCATCTATAATCTCTTTTCTAACAGTTAAATATGAGCAGGACACAGTCTCCTGCTCATTGTTGGGTACTGGGGTTTAACTTGGTTCCTGCTATTGTGTTTCAGCCTGGCCTGCTGGTGGGAGTACCGGGCATGCTCAGTGGGCTGCATCAGGCACACCAGCTCTATGGCAGGTATACGCTAATAACTATTATGTAAATTATATTTGTAATCCGTCCAGTCTTTCCTCGTGCCAACGACATATTATAATAGATGTCTTCTGGTTTAACGGATGCTCCACATTCTTCCCTTTTGATATCGTTTGTTTCACTCCTGCTGTTATAAACGTTCATTATCTGTTCACAGTGAAGCACTCTTTCATGACTTTTCAATTCCCCAGAATGGCGTGGAAGGATGTGGTTACCATGGCAGCAGAAGTGGCCAGAAATGGATTTAATGTCACTCATGACCTCGGTAGGTGTGATGACACCAGAAATATCAGCTGACCTCAGTCATATAGACAATAGGTGTGATCTCATCTGACTTTATTTTCTCTCTCTTTCATTCTCTGTCCCCTCTGTCTCTCCCCTCCCTCTCTCTCTCCCTCCCTCCCTCCAGCTGAAGCTCTGGCTAAGGTGAAGAACCAGAACATGTCGGATGCTTTCCTGGATTTGTTCCTTCCCAGCGGCGAGGCTCCCCTCTCCGGGCTGCTCACCAGACGGCTTGATCTAGCAGCCATCTTGGACTCAGTAGCATTAAAGGGGATGTCTGAGTTCTACAGTGGAAACCTGACGCAGGAAATGGCCGCAGCAGTAAGAATAACCCCCCCCCACCCCCCCCCCCCCCCCCCCCCCCCCCCCCCCCACCCC